ACGGCGGGAGAAAGCATGGCACAGTCTCGGGGTGGGGGTGGGGGGACGGGAACTGGGGTCTCTTGCTGCCAAGGGACCAGCCCACGCGAGGATAGCGCCCAGAGGTGCCCGGTGGCTGATCTGGCCCGACTGCACCTTACCCTTGACACCTCCCAGCATCCTGGCCCTGACTCATCTTTCTCAGCTCTAACACCCTGCCATCCCCCATAGGCCTCTGGCTCCTGGCCATTTAGATATTCCACTGTTATGTTTCAAATAATTATTCCGTTGATTATGTTTGAGGATTACAAAAATAATATATGCCCACCACATAAAAGAGAGAAAGAAAAGAATAAAGAACAACACCTGGAGATAAGCAATGTGAACATTTTGCTATATTTCTTCCAGCCTTTTTCTATAAATGTCAGTACACACATGTATATTTACAAAATTCTGAGTCTGCACTGCTGACTCCCTGTTGTTGTTGTTTTTTTCAATCCACTTTATATGAGTATTATTCCATCTGATTGAAAAAGGAAACTGAGACAGTTTCAGAGACATGACTTGTCACGAGTTGTCAGTGTTTTATTATCCTTGAGCTTTCATTTGTGCAAGAAAATTGAAGCTGCCCATGTGAGAGTTTTGAATAGTTCCCTCACATTCCCTAACATAAACCCTCCCAGCAAGTAGGGAGCAGCCCTCACTGGGAGGGTGCTTGGGCAGGGTACAGGTGCCTGAATAAGAGGATTATTTGACATCACTCCCTTGTTTGTGTGTGTGTTTAATGTCTCCACTGAAGCTAAGAAGGGAGTGTTGGAAAAAGCAGAGCACCAAATTCTGGTTGATGACAAACTTGTGAATATTTTCCTGGAACGCACTGAAAATTCAGTAGAGAAGAATGGAATGTCTCAAGTGCAAACACAATCACAAGGGGCAAGGTCTGGTGAGAAGCATCCAAATGAAGAACATATTCCTCATTCTGTGGATTCCTGTGTCCAAAAGGTGAGTATGGAAAGGAGGTAGGTATGTATTTGCAACTTCCTCTCCAGTCACCATATATTTCATTATTGTCTCACAACCATTGGCTGAGCACTTACTATGAGCCAGGCACTGTTTCAGGCACTGGGACCCAGAGGACAACAAGTCCCTGCTGGGGGGGCTACATAAAAGGACAATAAGCAAGTAAACCAAATAAAGAAGACAATTTTAGACGATAATATATGCTAGGACGAGGAAGGGGAAGGAGGTCTTGCTACTTCTGACCAGGAGTCAGAGACAAAGTCTCTGAGGTGGCATTTGGCCTGAGACTTGAATGAGAAGGAGCTAGCCATGCCAAGAGTCATTTGACAAATCAATATCAACTGCCTACTGTGTGCCAGGCACTGTCACAGAAGCTGGGGACCCAGCCAGCTACATAGCAGACCCTGCCCTCAGGGACCTTACATTCTAGTGAGGGATACAGATCCTAATAGTAAACAAATCTTCCTATATAATAAAAGGCTAATATGCAAATTGTCCCCTCGGAAGTTCGACTGCCTGCTATGATGTGCACTGACCACCAGGGGGTAGTGTGGAACGAACAAAGGCCCTGATCGCCAGCCAGGCCTGGGGACCCTACCCGTGCTCAAATTTCATGAACCAGGCCTCTAGTAGATTTATAATAAAACTAGAGGCCCGGTGCATGAAATTCATGCAGGGGGGTGGTTCCCTCAGCCCGGCCTGCACAATCTGGGACCCCTTGGGTGGTGTTCCTAGGCCTGGCCAGCGATCGGGGCCTTTGGGGCTTTCCTTCCCCTGGCTGCCGGGAGCTGGCCTCGCCTCTGCTGCTGCCACTACTTGCCATCTGTGCGGTGCTGCCTCTTCCTTCCCCCACCACCGGTCACCACCCTCTGCAGGCAACAGGCGTGGAGTGCGATTGCTTGGCTGGCCTGGGCCTCCCTCTGTGGGGCGATTGCTGGCTGGCCCCACACACCTGCCACAGAGTCGCTGGCTGGTGGCCTGGGCCTCCCTCTGTGGGGCCCCCAGATTGATCTCCATGCAGAGGGAGGCCCTGCCCACCCACCGCAGTGCTGCCAGGGGGAGGGGCGTTTTCTCAGCCCGGCCTGCACAATCTGGGACCCCTTGGGTAGTGTCCCTAGGCCTGGCCAGCGATCAGGGCCTTCGGGGCTTTCCTTCCCTTGGCTGCCAGCAGCTGGCCTTGCCCCCGCTGCTGCCACTGCTTGCCATCAGGTAGCCTGGGCCTCCCACTTTGGGGCAATCGCTCACCCGGCCGGGGCTCTGCGATCGATCGCTGTACAGAGGGTAGCCTGGGCCTCCCTCTTTGGGGCGATCTCAGGGCCCCCCCCCAACCCCCAAGTCGATCACTTTGCCTGGGCCTCCCCCTGCGGGGTGATCGTGGGGTGATGGTGGGGCCCCCAGACCAATCGCATTGTACCCACCTTGGCTGGCCTGGCACCAGTGTGTGTCATAGTGCGGTCGTCCTGATGGTCTGCTGTTCGGTCGTTCAGTTGATTTGCATATTACACTTTTATTATTATAGATGTCTGACAGTGATAAGTGCTAGGAAGAAGAATAAAGCAGGGTAAATGACAGTGACAAGACCACTACTTTGGGATATCTGGAAAAACCTCTTGAATGAGGTAACATCTGAGTAGAGACATGCATGAAGTAAGGGAGCTAGCTAAGTGGATATTGGGGGGAAGAATGTTCTAAGTAGAGGGGAGCACAAGAACAAAGGCCTCAAGATGGGAGCTTACATCCTGAGCCCTGAAGCTTCAAGAAGGGAGGCCAGTGGGCTAGAGGGCAGTGAGCAAGGGAGAGAGTGATATGAGAGGAACTTGGAGAGGTAACCAAAAGTCAGGTTTTTGGGGATGAAAGTAAGGACTTTGGACTTTCACTTAAATGTTAGGGGATTCATCAGATGGTTTTGAGCCAGGGAGTGGAGTGGTCTGATTTATGTCTCTAAAGCAGCGGTTCTCAACCTGTGGGTCACGACCCCTTTGGGGGTCGAAGGACCCTATCACAGGGGTCGCCTAAATACATCCTGCATATCAGATATTTACATTACGATTCATAACAGTAGCAA